TGTTTTCCATATAAAGTAAGTGATTGATTTTTCCATATCCTTAAAGAATGTTGGTGGGATCTGGATTGGGATTGCATTGAATATATAGATTGGTTTTGGTAGAGTTGACATTTTCACAATGTTCAATCTTCTTATCCACAAGCATGGTATGTTCTTCCATTTATGTAGATCTCTTATGGTTTCTTGAAGTAATCTTTTGTAGTTTTCTTTGTTATGGTCTTTTGTGTCCCTGGTAAGATATATTCCCAAGTATTTAATTTTTTGGTAGCTGTTGTAAATGGTATTGTTTTCCTTATTTCTTTTCTTTGTTCTTTTTTCTTGACATGGGTCAATGCATTCTTTCTTTCCTTTTTTTTTTTTTTTTTTTGTGGTTTTCTCTCCCCTCCCCTGCCACCCTGGCAACCAACAAAGAACATTTCCCTCCATATATAAACCTTTCCTTGACCCTCCACAACAACAAACTAATACTATATTTGTCCTTCTTTGGTTTACTTTAGGAGCTTTGGTGGCATAGTGCCTAAGGCATTTGACTTCTAACCAGAAGGCTGGAGGTTCAAAGCCACCTCCTTGGAAGGAAAGTTGGGCAATCTATTTCTGTATTGATATCACCTGAGAAACCCAAACAGGGGTCTCTATGAGTCAGATCCAACTCTATGGTGGTGCCTCTACCTTTTCTGTGGTTGACTTACTTCATTCAGCATAATGTCCTCCAAGTTCCTCCATGTTGTGTGGTGTTTTGCAGACTCTACGTTTTTCTTTAATGCTGCAGAACATTCCATTGTCATCGAGTTTGGTCATCGAGTCTTCCACTGATGGGCATGTAGGTTGTTTCCATCTTTTTGCTATTGTAAATAGTGCTGTGAAGAACATGAATGTGCATATATCTGTTCCATTCCTGGCTCTCGTCTCTCTAGGATATGCACCTGGTAATGGGATTGCTTGGTCAAATGATATCTCCAATTCCAGCTTTCTAAGGAATCACCATTCTGCTTTCCACAGTGGTTGTATCACTTCACAGTCCCACCAGCAGTATATGAGAGTCCCACTCTCTCCACATCCTCACCAGCATTTGTCATTTTCTGTCTCATTGAACCTTGCCATCAGTGCTGGGGTGAGATGGTATCTCATTGTTTTGATTTGCATCTCACTGATGGCCAGTGATTGTGAGCATCTCTTCATGTATTTGCTGGCCACCTGAATATCTTCCTTGGTGAAGTGTCTATTTATGTCTTCTGGCCATTTTTCAAATGGATTGTTAATTCCTTTGCTTTTGAGGCATTGGAGTTTTCTATAAATCTTCCAGATAAGTCCCTTGCCAGATATGTAATTATTGACAAATATGAATTTGTTGCTGTTATTTTTGTTATATGCTTTTTCATGGTGTTGATTTCTTTGTTCCATATAATTTTCTGTGCCGAGCTCATTTTGTTTATGAATCATGTTATCACTTCCTTCATTGCTATTGTTTTAATATTTGCTAAATATTTGTGCTAGTCCTCTTTTTTATTTTGATGTGAAGGTTTATCACTTTTTTTTTTTAGGTTACCCTGTGATTTATAGTTTTCTTTCCAAGTTTAGAACAGTCCATTCTATCTTGTAGTTGTCTTGACTTCCCTACCATCTAGAAGTTCTGTAACCACACAGTTTTTTTTTTCCTCTTTTTGGTTTGTAGTTGTCCTCATTTGTCAATTGATGTCTCTGGTTCCCTGTTTACAATCTTGTAGGCTCATTTACTTCAGATACTTCCATAGCTGGGTTGGTTTCTGGGTTATATTATCATGTGTGTTCATGGTTGATTGTCGTTTGCTGCTGTTGCTTCTCTGTCCAAAGGACTCCCTTTAACCTCTCTTGTTAGGTTGATCTGGTTTTAACAAATTCCTTTAATTTCTGCTTATCTGTAAATGTCCTAATTTCACTGTCATATTTGAGGGATAATATTGCTGGATACATAGTTTTTGGTTGGAGATTTTTCTCTTTCAGGGTTTTTATATATACTATCCCATTGTCTTCTCATCTACATGGTTTCTGCTAAGAAATCCAAGTTTAGTCTTATTGGTTGCCCCTGTAGGTAACTTTTCATTTTTCCCATGCTGCTTGCAGGATTCTCTCTTTGTGTTTTTTTTTTGGTGAGATTGATGATGATATGTCTTGGTGATTTTCTTTTGGGGTCTATACTGTTTCGGGTGCATTGGACTTCTTGAGTGGATATATTCTCATCTTTCATCATACCAGGAGAATTCTCTTCCAACAAATCTTTGACAATTTTCTCTGTGGTTTTATTTGTCTCTTCCTGCTCTGGAATTCTGATTACATGTAGGCTATTTCTTTTGATGGTATCCCACATGAACCTTAGGCTTTCTTCATTTTGTTTTCATCTTTTTTTCTGATTGGTCACTTTCCAAAGAAATATTGAGATATTTGCCTTCAATTTCACTAATTCAGTCTTCCATTGATTCAATTCTGCTCCTTTCCCTGTTCAACATGTTATCTATTTCTGAAAATTTAGTATTAATCTTCTGGATTTCTGTGTGTAGATTTTGTATCATTTCTAATTTTTAATTTATTTTGTCATTTTCTTCTTGTATTATCTTTTGAAATTTTAGGGCTTTCTCTGTGTCTTCCTCAATTTTGTCAGTGTTTTCATTGTTCTGTCTTTCAATTTTTGAAGATACTTAAATATAAGTCTTTTGAGTTCCTTATCAGGAAGTTCCAATGCTACTTCTTCAGGGATGTGTTTTGGGTCTGTATCCTGCTCCCTTGTTTCTCCTGCTTTATCTTGCTTCTTTGTGTGCAGTGTGATGCTCTGTTGTCTCTGAGGTATTGTGACATTTTTGTGTTTATATTTAATTGGTGATTGTATGTTGGAGTGACTTGCCCACCATTTTTGTTTTCTTTGTATGTAATATACATTAGCAGGGTACTGTGCTATGCCCCTTCTCTTCACTAGTTGACAGCACTTATACACTCACCACGTGTCTCCTTTCCCATTGTCAGCCTCCCATATGTCCCTGCTGTTCTTGGTAAACAGAACCTATTCTTAGGTCCCTGGAATCCAAAAGAGAATGCTGTCACTTTAAAGTCCAAAATAGCCACCACTTGTAAAGCTTCAAAATGGCTGGGCCCTCAGTCACCTTAAGTATCCAAAATGGCTACTGTCTGTAAACATTCAAAGTGGCTGTGCCCTTGGTCACTTTAAATATCCAAAATTGTTCCTGCTTATAAACAATCAAGATGGCTGTACCTTCCAGACAGTGGAAAGTCCACAGCTCAGGTTGTCTCCCTCCTTGCTATTTCCCTTCCTAGTCATAGGCCACTAGTGCAGTTGCCCATGCAGCCATTGGTGACCAGGGCTAATCTTTATGTCAATTCTCAGGTCTCCACACCACTTGGAAATATTCAGGCTGTTGGTCCCATTTGTGTAGCTGACAGTCCACTGCTCCAACCATCTCTTTACTCACTATTTCATTCAGGTTTTTCCACTAGTTGGTTCCTAATCCACTTCTGTATAGTTCCTTTCAAAGCTCAGGGCTCCAGGATTATTTTCTGTATCTCTGTCAATTGGTTTCTCTTTTCTTTGTTGAAGAGGGTCTGTGTAGCTTTTCTGCCTGTTCCTCCATCTTACCAGAAGTCTTCCTTATTTCTTTCTCAGCAAATTCTTTGCTGGTATAGAGGAATACAACTAATTTTTGTATGTTGATCTTGTATCCTGCCACTATGCTCAATTTCTCAATTACTTCCAGTAGTTTTTTTTTTTTTTTTTTAACTGAGTTTCTTAGGTTTTCTATGTATAGGATCATATCATCAACAAATAGGGATAGTTTTACTTCTTCCTTATCAATTTGAATGCCTTTGATTTCCCTTTCTTTCCTTATTGCCCTGGCTAGGATTTCTAGTACAATGCTGAATAGAAGTGGTGATAGGGGGCATCCTTAGCTGATACTTTTTATTAAACTTCCTCTACACAGGAGCCCTCATGGTGCTGTGGGTAAAGCATTGGGCTGCTAACCAGAACATTGGTGGTTTGAACCTATCAGCTGCTCCATGGGAGAAAGATGAGGCAATTGCTTCTGTAAAGATATGCAGCCTTGGAAATCCAAGGGGGCAGTTCTACTCTGCCCTATGGTTGCTATTAGTAAGAATTGACTTGATGGCAATGGTGGGTTTATATATAACAAGTCATAGAAGTAGACCTTCATATAAAACCATTTCAAGGAAATAATCATGAACAGATGATATTCAGTAAATTTGTAAATATTTTGTGTCTGTAATATACTACCAGTAAGTATCACTGAATGTCCATGATATTTTTGTGAAATAGGAAGCCATGTGATTTGGATATTATGTGAACACCATATTTTATATAGTATATATGTCTATATATATTCTGTGCACATGTATCAAAGTAACTCTCCTCAAAGTACCTCAAAGCTATTCTGGCTCTGTGTTGACTCCCAGAGCCTCAAAGTTTCCAAAGTCACACTTGCAATTGGCTGCCTCTGGATGCTTGGCACTTTTGTAGCAGATGGGGCCAGATTGGTTGGGATCAGAAACCCTGGGGAATGGAGTAGAGTGGCTGCAGTCCAGCATCTCCCTGAAGGCACTGACCTGTAAGGTGATCAGGCAGGGCACACATCAGTGATAGCACAGGAGCCATGGCAGCCATGGCTTGGGGGCTGCAAGCCATGCTAGGACTTGGGCTAAGCCATGACACCCATGGGGATTGAGTTGCAGCTGCCAGGTGCCACAAACTGGACACTGACCCTGCCTCCTGATAACCTTCCAAGCAAGTCTCTTTTCCCTACCCCACAGATGTTTATGTGGTCACACATTTTCAAATGGTCGCTATGTGGTGCATACCCATATTTGTTTTAAAAAATTGATGGGAAGATATCAAACCCATCATTTTACTTACATGTACTAATTTTTGTATATCATTTCAAATGTGCTAATTTTTTTTTTAAAAAAAACCTGTATATCTTTTCTGTTTTGGTTTGGAATAGATATTGTGGAACATCAATCCCACCTTCTCTTACCAGCAGTTCCAACTCATTAATGCTGGTATTTGTGGCTGACTCTGATCTGGCTTATGAAGGCTTTGAAATAAATTATGAAGTTATTAATGCATCAACAGGTAATAAAACAGCATTTTGTATTTGGTTTCAATTACTCTATTATAAAACAGTGTTATTATCAAAAACGTAGTATGAATATTTCCTACCAAAATTGATGGCAAACAATGACAGCTATACTTAGAATAAGATGTACAGGCTGAAATGTCTCCCTTAGTTAAAAAGAGTTATGATTAGGCAATCGTATTGAATCAATGTTAAATTTTCTGGTTTTTGTAACTGTACCATGTTTTGGTTTAGGTATTTAATGTCCAGTGACCAAAACTGCTTTCTCAAGAAATTATAGTGTAGACATGATTTTCCATACTTCTGTAGTTTTGCTTGCCTCATATATTCGGCCTCAAAATTACACTGAATAGTAGATTAGAATTTGGGGAAATTCACTTGAACTCTCTGGGCCACTGTTTTCTCATCTGTAAAATTAAGGGATTGGATTTGATGATCTTTGAGATGTCTTCTGGCTCTAATCAACTATGAAGACAGTTTTAATTTGCTGCATGAATAAAGTAGCTGTATCTTAGCTAACATATGGTACAGTCAGAGTCTCCTGGAAATACCAAGAGAATCTTAATAACAATGTGCAGAATGAGACATAGATCCCCTAGCCTAAAAGGTATTGTTTTCTCCAACAAGAAACAAGGCCAACAGACATAATTTGGCAGATAAAATGTTAATTTTTAATAAAACACATTTCCATGAAGATAAGTTATGAGTAAAGAAGAAAGAAAGAAGCAAGCTGGATAGAAAAGTAAACTAATAAAGAAAGAAAATAGAAGAACAGGCAAGTGATAAGGGGAATGGGAATACTGAGGTGGCAGATTAGAAAGACTCTCTAACCTGTCTTCCTGTGTGTGCATTGCTTTTGGTTTTGTTTGGTCTAGAGAGGGTTGAAATCACCTTCTGTTCCTTGACTTAGACCTGGTGGTCACTGTGTCCTGTCTTTTGTTTGATGAGTTTATGTGTCTTACTAAACACAATCAAACCACCCTGAATAGCAACTAGATTATTGTGTCTAGGGAGTCATGTGGCACCTACAAGTGACCATTCTATGTCTGTCACACTTTTCCCATAGGTCAAGTCTTGAGCAATTTTCTCTTATGCATTGTTGAGAGGGTGATCCCTGAAGGATTGCTATGGGAATGGTTGGGCTCAGGAGACTGAAGAGAGGGTTGGACTGGTAACAGGCCATGAGATAGCCCTCTAGGGCAGCCAGAGTCAGAGTGAGCTGCAGACCTGGAAATAAGATGTTAGGCCTCTATTCACAGTTGCTATTTTGTTTTCAATATTTTCTGAAGAATAAAAGAGTAGGGAAAAGCATCAGTGAAAGCCCCAATGATTGGCAGTCATCATATTTTATTGCTCTAACAGAACAATGATGATAGTATTTGGTTGTTGGTTTCTAGTTGCCCAGCACAACAGGTGTGGATTTCTATGATGAAGTCTTTCTGTCTTTACTGGATAAAAGTTCAGTACCTTGATTTGAATGGAGTTACTTTTCCATCTGTAGTTCATGCCATGTGGCTATGATGTCAGCCCCTAAATATTTGTGTGGGAGGCAAGAGATTGCCTTCTTGTCATTACTTTGACTCCCTCCTTCATCATTTTGTTTCTGCCTTCATCCAGATGTGTCTGGGGAAATAGAAAGAAAGAAATTGACAAGTAAAATGTTAGTAGGTAGAAACTCAAGACTTTTTAAATAACTGAGTATGAGACTGGATTTGAAACAGTTGTTAATTTAAAATATACAATATTTGAATCTTGAGAGAATATAAGTTAACTTTACTAATTTAAATTTATTAGTATCTATTGCATGTGTACAAATATAATACTATCAAAAAGGGACTATAAAAATTATAAACAAGAACAGAAAAATGTGCCTGCTACAATTTCAACTTTAAAACCAAATGAAAACCTATATAATGTCTAGTCCAATGTTTTTTTTGGGGGGTGAGTGTCCATTATTTATTCATTTTTTGACTTTTAGTCCTTGTTTTTCAAACTTAATTCATGACTCATTAGTGGGTCATGAAATTAATTTACTAGCTTGCTACCTGCATTCGTTAAAACTATGGAATATAATATAAATGAATAGTTAGATAAGTGTTGCTTCATGAAACTTTTGTTTGCAATATCTGCACATATGGTTCATTTGATGTAAATATATATTTCTTTTTAGTGTGTTTGAAAACACTGATCTAGTCCAATTACATTATTTTAAAAATAAGGGAGATTAAAATTTTAGAATGATGAAGTTATGTTCCCAAGAACAGGTAGATAATTGGTTTAAAATCAAACTAAAGCAATTTAAGTCCAAACATCTAGGCCATTTCTTTTGCCGTGTGCAGATTAGCTCTTGGAAGTTCTCCAGATGAATTGCACATAGTGTGTGTGATAACATTCTATTCAAAGCTACAGTTCAACTGTGGTGCACTTCTCATATTTTCTGCAAAGAGCAGAGCTTCACAGCTGTCAAAGGAAATGCCTGGGAAATATCAGAACCACATTAACACAGGGTTAAAGATGACCCTGGGAGCTTTGGTAGCATAGTGGCTAAGACACTTGCCTGCTAACCAGATGGCTGGTGGTTCAAACCCACCAGCCACTCCTGGGAAGGAAGGTTGGGCAATCCTACTTCCATAGTGATACTACCTCAGAAACCCAAGAAGTTGGGTTTGACTCGATGGCACATAACAACAACAACAACAAAGATGACCCTTACTGCATTTTCCCAATCTCCTCCTTCCCAACACAGAGATCCAACCCACACCTCAGAGGATATTCAGTGTTGTGTTTTATCAGTTGTTCTGGAATGAACCCATAAGAAGCATCCAGAAGTGCAGAAGCCCAGAAATGCTTATTACCAGAAGGGTTGAAGGAAGTTTCTTTAGAAACAATGAGTAGAGAGAGTTTTGTTTCTGTTTTTAAAATTTAATACAATAGGAAAGGATTCTTAAACTATAGTGTTCACAAGACACTTGGGGTGGGGTTTTCTTGTTACAAATTCTGGTATGAAGGCCTCACCCAGAAATTCTGATTCAAATGATTCACCAAGCCATTTAAGTATTTCTAATGAAATTTCATTTCTTTAGCTTATCAGAGATTCTGAAAGTCCATGTCTTAGCACAGAAATTGCCATAAAATTACAACTGGGGTACAATGGTTGATTGAACTGTAGAAAATATAGTGAAAGGAAGATTGGAGGGGAAATCAGAAGCCTTTGGTTCTAATCCCAGTACTGATAACTTTGATACTTTCAGGCAAGTCACAGGCCTTTCTGCGTCTTTCTAACTACCTTTGCTTTTTATATTTTCTGCTATGAGGTATTCAGAGGGCTCTCTGGTGGCGGAGTGCCTAAGGCATTTGACTGCCAACCAGAAGGCTGGTGGTTGAAACCCACGAGCCACTCCTTGGAAGGAAGATTGGGCAATCTACTTCTGTAGTGATATAACCTCAGAAACCCAAGGAGGGACCCTATGAGTTGGATCCAACTCGATGGCAGTGAGTTTGGTTTTTTGGTTGGTTTTGGAGGTATTCAGATATTTACCCTCCACAAAAAAAAAGGTGTTTAATATGTCTGTTACCCTTTTAAAGATTCATTTTCTTATTGGTCATTGTTTTATCTTATTTTTGTACATACTGGTGTCCCAGCACATCTCAGCTTGATAGATTATCTTATTTATCTCAGTACATTATCCCAGCTCGGTAAATTATCTCATTTAATTTATTATACTTCTTAGTCCTTGGAATAATAATGCTACACCAAAAACTTGATATTCCTAGTTCTTAGAACTAGGAATATTTGATAGCTCCTAGTTCTCTTCTTCATTCCCAAATAGACATTTCCTGCATAGAAAAACCAGGGATTGTTACAAGGCACAGGATTTGGGAAGGGAGGCCTTGGATTCAAACTTTATCTTAACTTCGTCTGACTAAATGCTTTATTTTAGAAAGTAACCTCTAGGAGCCATAGATCCTTCATCCTCACCTTTCTAAAAAGTGACAGGTAATCACACCTGTCTCACAGACTTGGGGGAAGGTAAAAGAAGACATTATTTGTGAAAATTACTAGATGACTGTAAAGCATCACAGTGTTCCCAGGTTTGAAAATATCATTGCTGATATCCAAGTACAATTTTGCAACATCTACTTTAGTGAATTAGTTTATATTCACATTCATTTAGAATGATCATTTGTGAGGGAAAAGAAAAAGTAATGACCATGACCACATAATAGCAAATGATAGAAAAATATTAGATTTTGATTAGGAAGGTCTTTTCTTTCCTAACAGAGAACTTGAACCTATCATTACATCTTTCCCTAAGTCTTCACTTTGAGAAATGTTAAACCACATATGTCTGTAGAATCAGATGATGGTTTCTGGGTTGATGATTTATTTAGCATGTATCTAGAAAATCTGAGGACAAACACATTGTAGTAGTTAAGTTTATGTGTCAACTTGGCTGGGCCTGGTTGAGTGGCTGGGCAGCTGGATATAGTGTTTCCCATGACGAGACTGGTAATCAACTCCATGGTGGAATGTACTGTGAGCAGCTGAGTAGCTGCCTTAGGGATGTGGTCTGCTTCCTATATATAAGGGGAAGCCTTGGGAACTGGTTTTTAGCTTATGGCAAGCTTGAACCCTACATGTAGCCAAGTCATTGTTCAACAGCCTGCCATGATCTGCTGATCTTGGAACTTTTAATGGACTTGAATTAATGGCCTGCCATGTGATTTTGTAATAGTGGGACTGTGCCTTCTTATTACTTGTTAACTTTGGGCTTGTCAGCCTGAGCAGCCAGCAGCTGAGTGAAGAAAAGCCTCCAACTTCAGGGGACTGGGAACAGGAGGCAGAGCTGAAGACCAAGGTTGAGGGGCTTTCACCCAGCCCCTAGAGCCTGGTGCTTTGAACTCGGACTTAAAGCCTCCAAACTGTAAGAGAGTAAAATCCTGTTTTTCAAGCCATCCCATTTGTGGTATATTCTTGTCAGAGTGGTACTAGGTA